ACACACACACACACACACACACACACACACACACACACACACACACACACATTTAAACTTTAGCTATTGAAATGGGGATTAACTTGCTCTAACAACTCTACAAATTTGAATATTATTGCTGATAACTGAGGATGACGCTAGCAGGCCCCACTTACAGCACTTGACCACAGTTCTGTTAGGTTCCACTTAAACTTCATGAAACAGAGAGATGGAAAAACGAAGGCAACAGACAAGTCTAATAGCTGGCTTTTTTGTGTTTCTGTTGGTGTGTTTGTGTTGAGTCAGCCAACTCTTAATGATTAACAGTATGTGCTGTTAGCTTTCAGCGCACATGCAAAGTGCTCCATGTATAAGCTCAGCAGCTGCCAGACTACCAGATGCAAGACTGGAACAGACAACCCCCTACCCACACCCCCCCCCCCCCACCCACACATCCACACACACACACACACACACACACACACCCACACCCCCCTACACCCACCAACCCCCCCACTGTACCTACCTTCTGTCCACCTGGTCGTCACACACTGTCACTCATATAAAAACTGGCACCGCTGCAGCTGCTTTGCATGCTTTTCTCCAAACACAAAGGACAGCATTTATGGATAGTCAAGAAAGTCGATCTCAGCAGCTTTGGGTAACAACTTTACCTAAACTATAAGAGGTAAAACAGTCAACTTTTTCCTAGTCTAATAGCCAGTTGATTTACCATTAATTTTGTAAAAATGACCAAAATTCCCCAGTTTTCATCTTCCTTCCTTCAGTTTCCATCTTCCTGTGATACTTAAATACTGATTGCTAAATTTACTTATTTTTTTCCACTTTTTTCTCTGAAACACAAACCAAGCGATTCATTCATCTGTTGATAAAGCAACAGGCAGATTCATCAATAAGTAAATCAAATCTTTAGTTGCAACCACCTCTAAAGCAGTGTAATAATTGTTTCACTTTTTTGTCAATCCAAAATTCCACAAATAGGGGAAATAATTATTTTCTCCTTTCCTGAATTAATTTTTTTCTGAATTTAAAATCCAGAAAAAACCCCCCAAATCACATAAAAGTTATAAATATATTTGCATGCCTTTGAGTGAAATAAATGTTTGATCCCACAAATTGGCTGTGTGCCCAGCACACGAGTCCACACAATCAGTTTCTTCCATTTCAACCTCACCGTGACCATAGGTACGACCAAAGAGATGTCCAAGAATGTCAAGGACGCAATTGTAGATGTGCATGGAACAACATGTCCCTCCATCTCGAGCTCAATGCAAGATCTTGTCTCATGAAGTGAGGATAATCATGTCAAAGGTGGTGAATCAGCCCAAAACTTCCTGGGAGGAGCTTGTTATTGATCTGAAGGCAGTTGAGACCACAATCACCAAAAACACCATTGGTAGCGCGCAGTGCCCGCAAAGTCTCCCTGCTCAAGAAGGCACATGTACAGGTCCGTCTTTGCCAGTGAACATCTAAATGATTCAGAGAAGGCTTGGGAGAAAGTGCTGTGGTCAGATGAAACCAAAATCAAGCTCTTTGGCATCAACTTGACCCCCTGTGTATGTAAGCTGAGTATGACCCAAACATTACCATCCCCACAGTCAAGCACAAAGGTGGAAACATTGTACTTTGGAGCCATCTTTCCACTAAGGGTGTGGGATGACTTCACCACACTGAGGTCAATGGATGCAACAACAACAGTCCACTGGCCACTTAAGAGCCAGAAGATAGGCTGTGGATGGGTCTTCCAGTAACCCAAAACATACTGTACTGCCAAGGCAACAAATAAAAAGCCCCTTAAGGTCGTGGCCTAGCTAATCTCCCGATCTCAATCCTAGAAAATCTGTGGAGGGAGACGAACTTAGAGTTGTGAACTGGCAGCCAACAAACCTTAAAGGATTTATAGTTTCTGTAAAGAAGAGTGGGCCAGAATCCCTCCTGAGATGTGTGCAAAAGCAAGCACTAAGTCATGTTTCGCACAAATGAAATACTTATTTCACTCAATGAGGTGCAAATCAATTTATAACTTTTATTTAATGTGTCTTTGTTTTATGGATTTTTGGTTGAGATTCTGTTAAAATGAAACTACTATAAAAATTAGAAACTGTTCATTTCAGCAGGGGATCAAATAATTATTTTCCCCATAACATTCGCCAAATCACTGGTTTTAGATCTGAGGGATAAATAAAACAAAGATTTAAATAAATAAATACCATACTGGTGGCGGTTTGAAATAATAATTGACAGTTTTTGCTATGAAATACACTGAGCGTTAACGTAAAAAGTGTGCAAGAGTTTCTTTTAGTAAGAGATAATCATGTCTTTTTTCTTACAGAGCTGACAAAAAAAAGAGTTCATTATCCAGAAAGAGTATATCTCCATTTAACTGACATCACCGTCTTATTAAATGCAAACTGAGCCAAAAATTCTGTGATACACCTCAGTGATTACCCATTGCTCATTTAGCTGACTCTGATTTTTACATACCATGTGATCCTCTGGTTAAGCTTCTGTACATTATTGCTGACAGTGAAAGGGGTTTACTGATATTTCTTTTGGAAACATTTTCTGTTATGGCTAGTTACTTACAGTTGCCTGTTACCCATGTGGAATTTGGAGCACTTCGTATAAAGAGACTAATGGATATTATTTTGCGTCATATTGCTAATGAAGCTGATCTCAGGCAGCCCTAATAACGAGGAAGGTCAAATAGGTCAGTGGGTGATGTTATAGAAAACTGTCACAAACTTGTAATTTGATAAGTAAGGGTTTCACTCAGGTCTTTAGGCTCTTTGCCAAGGGATACGGATATGTGTAAATTAGCATAAAGACTGTGGCTGTTATGAAGGCATCCCTGATCCTCATTAATGCTTGTGTGAAGATGGAAAACCCTCATGTTTTGAAGTTTCAGCAGTTTATTTTTATGGCCTTACGTCCTTTTCTGACACTGTTTCAAGAAATCGCTTGTTTTGCAGAAAGGAGACCAAAAACATTTTGTATAAGATGTTTGTTTTTCATCGTGGCTGCAGAGGCATTTTTTCTGGTTTCAGTAGGTAACAAAAACATTCTACTCTAAGTGAGATGCTCAGCATCAACCTAAGCCATTACATAATCAGATTGTTAGCCACTCATATATTTTCTCTGACTACTTCACATAAATAAATCACCAAATAGATAACCCACAACTGTGTCTAACTGCTACTGAACACAAAGTGACACAGCAGTTTAATAAACATGTTATATCTAGAAATAAGCTTTTTTTTCTTTTCTTTTTTTCTTTAAATAGGCAAGCTTTCTCACTTGCGAGTACAGTTTATCCAGTTCATCTTGGATTTGTTTGGGGTACTCCAGGCCTTGGCAGATTCTTTAGGGAATCAGTTAAACCCTATAAGCAGATAAATGCATCCATCTCTCCCTTCTGTAGAAGCAGCGATACATTCGTCTGTGTGGCTTTCCAGGCTTTCTTCAGCTGTTTCGCCTGATTCTGTTAGTCTGTGGGTATTTTGTGCTCATTAGAAAGGGGGCAGTAGTCACTTCTAGCTACTACAGTATGGCTAGCCCACCAGTGATGCTGTGTTTGTGGTCCAGAGAGGGGTGACTGGGGAACATCTCCTCTGTACCATGTAAGGAAACCAGGTGTTGCTACTCTTCTGTTCATCCACTCACAGCATCATTCTGCCAGAAGGGAAAAAAAGAACACGCATCAGGGTTCATTCTTAAGCTTGTAATATGTTTTCTGAATTTTCTGAAGCTTTCAACCGTATATTAACTTTTGTGTGGTAAGCCTCAAGCTAAGTCCTTTGGCCATTATCAACATGGTGTTTTCAAACAGGATGTGATAAGGAGATCTGAAACCGAAGGAAACTGCATACTAGCAGTTTCAGATAGCGACTTGTCTGAAACGAGAGATACCTGCAAAAAGATCATGTCGCATTAGCCTCCTTTTTATTCTAAATCGCAGTATTTACAGTATTTTTAGTCACTTAAAACTTCTGGTCAATGCCGTAAACTGAGTTCAGTTAGCATTTTCCCATAGAGTTCTCCATAACAGGGCAAATTTTGGAAACCAGCCCTCTGCTGGCCTTTACAATAAAATGCAGGTTAAAGGCGCTTCCACACTGGCTTTGCATTTCACACTAGACAGCTGTGCCCATCTTTTATACACTGTCTATGAAATCAAAAGAGCGGTAGGATCATTTTCTCAGCCTTTTTTCTTCCCAGCATCCTGCTGGCCATTAGAAAGGATTCAGTACACTCCCGTGCTGGCTTCAGTTTTCAGACCTGAAAGAGCAGTGCCAGTCACAACACCACCAAACACAATCTAAGGCAGTTTCATACAGAATGTCTGTTGGTGCTGGATGATGTAACCACATCTAGCTTTCCATTGGCTGTGGTTTCCAGTTTTCATTGTACTGGTTAAGTGGCTAGACACTGACTGAATGCCAGAGGAACATAACTCTAACTGTCTGGGAAACAGAGGTCATCTCAGGACTAAAACCTGGCTTTAGGAGAAAACAGAGAAAAGCACTGATTTTAAATATCAGCTATTATCCACCTGTTATCACATGACTAAATTTACATACTCAGGTCACGTGGTAACAACCAGACTTTATCCTTGGTAACTCTCACACGACACCCACTGATGAAGGCCAAGAGATGATTTAAAACAATGGAAAAACTAGCGAGTGAAGAAGATGGTATTTAGGATAGCAAACATGCTTACATATTTTAAAGATCTCATAGAACTGGAGCCCACAGAATAAAAAAATGGTTGATACTTTGTGGATATATTGTTGCTTTATCCTCTCCAAAAAGCCAATTTATAGCCCAGAGTGCACATGTCTGTATCATCAAATTCCAGAGTAGCCACAAAAGTTGTTTGGGAAAAACTGGCAGGATCCCGGACAACAGAGACTCAAAACTTAATACTTTTAGCTTCATGGATAAAATTGCCTCAGTGTGTGCTCTGTGTTTCATGGTCCACACTGATCTTTATATAACAACATATTGGCTTGAAAATGAGCTCAAGGCCAGAAAACACAAAAACTAATAAAATGGGCCAGCTCTGCTTTTCAAAAAGCAGCCAGCTTCACAGGAATATTTTACAAGTCTGTAATTCTTGTTAAGACTCCCACCACAGCTCTATGAATCACATCCACCAACTGAAAATAATTTCTGCTGCCCAAACAATACGACTGCACTTTAATGGGAAAAGAAAAATTTCCACTTTCCACACCTTAGCAGTGATTTACCCTCCATCCTTGTAGGGACACAGAAATATTCTTTTATCAACAGTGTGACACAGAGTGCTTTTGGTTCTTGAAGGATACTTGACTGCACTTTAGAGAAAATGCAAAGTAAATGTGTGAAAACACGTCTAATAAAAGATCACAAACACAAGCACAAAAATAAACACAGAAAGTTGCACCAACCCCATCTTGCTTTTGGCAGTGCCAGACGTCACTGCACGACTTTCAAAGAGCTAAACCTGCTCTTCTTCTCTTTTAGCAGAACTGTCTGTGCGTCTGGCTGTCTTTGTAGCATCTATGATGTTAATTAACTCACACCACATGGAGTGTGTTGCTTTAATTGGACAAGGTCTTGGCATGCTGCTCTGTGGACAGACAGGCCAGGAATAATTTCATAATGTACAATTACATTATTACCTCAGAAAAAGGGAACCAGTGAGTTCAAAGATGGATGTGAATATTCAGGAGACAGAGGTAGGCTTTGATCACACTGACAGAAAAAAAAAAGGGAAAAAATGTGAAATTCTGTTTTAGCCTTCTGGGTCTATCTGAGTGTCCTGTGCAGGCAGCACAGCAGGCGTTTAAGTGCAGGTGTCGGGCATGCCTACCTGTGACCGATCTGATGTAACAGACAGACTGCTCGAGTGGCGGAGGTGGCGTTTACTAGACTGGGCTATAACGCTGAGTCACTGGTGACTGACTGTAAGAAGCAGTGTTACAAAGGCTGGTGAGTCAACTATATGTTGAATAGGCTGACAGATGCCACCTCACCTAGACCACTCTAGCCATGGCTAAGCTCAGCTGGCCCAGTAAGCTACCAGCCTTGAGTGAGTGGGAGGTTGCTGGCATGAGGTGCTGCTCTAAGTCGGTGCCAAGTGATTCATCGGCCACCAGGGGAATCTGTGTGACGTGTTCTGCTCAAGTGAAGTGGTGTCATTTGATGTTGCTCAACACCTCATTTCTCCCGCTTTAATCTATGACTTCTCGCTGATGCTCAGCATATATTAACCAGAGTTGAGTTATGTATTTTTAATTTTACCACCAAACACGAGCAAAAAAAAAAAAGTAATAAAAAATCTGCTTTTTTTGCCTTCCCCAGATTGCACACTTATTTTTGCTGGGTAAGTCTTAATCAGCACTGACTGAAGGCAAACTAAATCTATCTAACATATGCAGTAAAAAATGCCAGACTGAATGACAGGAGCAGATCACATTTGTTCCAATTATGAAGTGGGGAGCGTCAAAGTGAGTACACTACACAAGGAATGTAAAATAAGTGATGATATAGAAAATTCTCACTGCCACTTCTTTTAAATCTGCCTTCTAGTGTCATGATGCTGCTCAGTACCACTAATTGCAAGGAGGTGGACAAGCAGGCAAAAGGGGGATGTGCAGATACTGGGAAGCCAGCCAAAGCTTTAATGTCCTAATAGCTGCGGGTGGACAACCAAGCAGGGCTCTAAGGCTGCTGAACTTCCTGGAAGGTTTTAGTGCTTTTAAAGGGCTACATGAGAGCCCTGCTAGGATGAGTGACGCCAAAATGTTTTTCTGTGGCAATGTGATATCTTAATGGGTTCCCAGTAGTTTTTGTGCTACCACATCCTGGTCATATGAGCTCAAGAGCTACTTGATCTATGTCATCCAGGACACATTAACTGTCTCAGGCTCAAATTAAACTTTTTGTTGCTAATGCACAACCAAGTCCTGCAGTGGTACTACTGAGTAAAAAAAATTAAAATATGCATGTGGGGTAATCAAGTTGTTAGTTTTTAACTGTTGCAAATCTGCAACGCCTGCCTTGAGAGGCTTAATGTGAATGGATTTTAAACTGGATACAGAGTGCTAAATGGGAAAATCATTACCGCTATCTGGTAGCACATCTGTATGGTAAACATAAGACTACACCTTTATAGTTTAACCAAGCATAAAGAAAGGAAATGGGGGAAAAATGTTTCCCTGCCCAGATTATAAGTAGATGAGATGAGATGATTTTTGTGCTCCATGAGTTGTCAATGCTTCCTTCAGTTTTAAACAGCTCCATGTGATCATCTGCTGAGCCAGCTATGATAATTTAACCTCTATCGCCTGATGGTTTTAACTCATTCCACGACCACTCTGAGGCCTCCAACACCACCACCTTCTCCAGGTTCACGTCCTCGCAGGATGACCCCTCCTCTCAGTGTGAGAGCAGCAGAGTTAAGGATGACTGCTACTACTAAAGCTACTGTTGCAACGTGCATCAAGACAGCCACCATAGTTTAATAGGTCAGTTATGTATTTATTAGGTTGTTATTATTATTATTTTATTACATTTATATGTATATACATATACATTTAACTTTTATAGTATTTTTATTATTTTATTTTAATTAGGTCTAATCATTGTGTATAAAGATTAATCAGGTGACCATTTACGAATCTTATTTATATGTTCCTCTTTGACCTAAACACAAATATTTGAATGATTTTTGTGAAATCATGATTTCATTTTCAGCTCATCCACCCGAAGGACTAATGAGCTGGGAAGACGTCCGTCATCCATCCATCTGTCAATAATCTACAAGAATTGCTGACATTATGAGTGAGGATTTAATCAAACCTATGCACAATGATCACCCTCGAGGTCAGGGTCATATTTGTCGTTCTCAGTGGATTTGAATTCTCATTAGTTTGTGCAGTACAGCCAGCCAATGATAGGAAAACTTATCACTGCTTTCTGTATTTCACACATTATAATAACCTGTAAATTACAATGGATCGTGTGCCAGATGAGCTGCATCAGTGATGTTCTAGTTTTTTTTCTATTTTTTTCTCATTAGCTGAGCGAGTCCACAATCTTTTAAGTGCAGAAAGACTTCCTTGAACTCCTCTTAATAATCATTAGTTTAGTTCATTTGCAGAGATAAGGCGTCCCCAGGCCAGTAGATATAAGACACATAAAGGTCCAAGCCAAACAGCTCCTACATAAATGTGTTTTTTATCAAGCTAATGGACAAACTATAACTGCCCATCCTATTCAACACTAGGATAAGCACTTGAACAAATAGCGTGTAGAAAAACAAAGAGTTTGCAATAGTGTTTTTCACAAATCCGTTGTTTCCACTGAGTGACATTACCCTGTGAGTAAACTCTGCTTGGAAACAAACAGTGTGCCCCCCCTGTAATGATAATCCATGACTCCTGGTGTGGCAGGCTGATCATTCGTCTCTCACCTGGATCATACATCGTTAGGTGAAGAAAGAGACAGTTATGTTTTTGTACTTTATTCAAACCGAAGTGAATACGTGAATATGAGATTTTAATAAAGGGCATCCACCGAGGAAAAGTAATAACAGTTTCTCAGGCCGCCCACGCTGAACCCTGAGCAGATCTGCAGCAGCACATACCAGCCTGCTTACGTGCAACGTGGTAAGCAGGATTCCCACACGCTGAGTGCAAAGCTGCGCTCTCTCCCCCTCTTGCTCTCTCTCTTTAAGACCTGACTTGCCATCAGGACCTGCTTTGCTGCATGGGTTACCATTTGTGCTGGATTCCAAAGTTGCTGCTCGACTGGGTTGTTTTTAGATGCTGCTGGGCCTGTAATGGGACTTGACCCGATCTCTGGTTGTTTACATTTGGCCAACAGATGTCCAACTAAGTGGACCCAGTTTTCTGAGCCATTACTCTGCATCCTCTCTGGGGATAAAGATCTGTACCCCCGCAAATAAAACCCAGCTAATGACGCACCGTGTGGGCAACGTCAACTGCGGTATACACACAGAGAGAATCGCCCATAACGGTTACTTAACACATTTAGGAAAAAGTGTAAGCGTTATCTGGATTCTCAGAAGTGTTTCATTGTGTGAAACTTTCCCCCTCCCCCCCAAAAAACTATTCTGATCTTGCCCCAGAAACTGCTCGTGACTGAATTTATCTCGCAGCATCTGTCACTTTATTATTGATGTCAATGATTATGCAAGAACATATTTAGCTCATGGTAAATTTTGTCCTGTTTGTAAAAAATGCGGTTACATTTTTTTCTTGGTATTTTTAGATAGAGATCTTACAAAAGATGATACCAAAACACTATCAGTCCTAAAGCAGTTCCCATTACTCATCACAATGAATTACTATGAACTTATCTTGCTCTCATTTTCCAAGCCCACTTAGTTAATGAGCAGTTTGCTGCTATTTCAAACACCTTTTTTTTTTTTAAATCAACTTCCTCTGCCTTAATGCTGGCTTCTCGCCAGTGCAGGTCAACCTCACTAGTCAAGGATTGATGAGTCCTATCATACTGAACTGACTTCACGTCTAATGAGGAGGCTCCGCGGATATGTTCAGTCTTAGTTAACCACGTTTATACCAGCAGAGCAGCCCCAGGATCCCTCTGCAGCATCTCAGCTCGTCTATCTATGGCTTCTACAGTCCACAGTGCTTCTTAAAGCCATTTGTCAAAACTCTACCCACATTAAATTATCATGACCCGAGAGAGATGTCTACCTCTAGGAAGAGACTGAGCCACAATCAGAGACAGATAGGGTGCACGGTGTCTGGAGACGCGCAACCGGATGAAAAATCGACTGCACAAAAATGTACGGTTGTTCAGGCTGCGCTCTGCGATTGTGCAGCTATATTCTGAAAGTTTAAACAATGTCTGGCAGAAGAAGAAAGGTTCCCCGCAGCTATGGCGTGTTACAGGTCACTCCTGGCATCATAAATCATCGCGTATGTTCTAACAGCAGTCACATGCAGCCTAACACACCTTCAGACGCCTGTGACTGCTCTCAGCGGTAATAAAAAAGATACGCTGAACACATAGCAGATGGTGTTTTGCCGCAGAAACTCCACAAATGATTTCTAATGCGACTCACAGTCGACTCATTCAAGTTAAATATGAGCTAGGAGCCCCAGGCGGGCACTGCAGCTTTCACATTATCCTGTTCTTTTCTATTCATTAATAATGATAGCTCCCTAATGAGTTGGTCAGACTTAAAACCAAGAAATATCTCTCACCCAAATTCCTCCTATAAAATAAAAGAAAAAAAAGGTTTATGTTGACACAGAGTGCAGCTATTTTGAGATGAACGACGCATACAGATCAGACGCTTTGCAGAAAATGATTCACTGCTGGGCAGAAGGGAGTGGAGCTCTAAAAGTTCTGTTGAAGTCTGTAATCCAGTAAATTGACAGTTGGTAATACCACTGGTCGGATCTAATCGCGAGTGTGCTATCTATATCTTTGTGTTTACAGTGCGCCCCTAACGAGCGACTCGATGTTTGAGCTTCCTTGCTGCTGGCTTTCGGGAAAGTATGCTAAAAATGTTTTAATTTGTCCTGCTAGACACAGTTTCCTTGCCATGTTGCTGTCTGCAAACAAAACAATGAGCACAAAAGAAAACACGCAGACAAGAAAATGAGAGGCAGAATTAAAGGAACGATTTTTTAAAGGGTCGGCCGACTTTGGTTCTTAGCATCTGTAGCTATTAATGCTTTATTTTGTCAAACAAGCAAGAGGGTCTCTACTGCATATTTGCTTATCAGAGCAGAACAAGTTATTTTGTATAATAGGCAACAAATGGTTACGTAACACTTCCTACTCTATGGCGTCAAATGAGGGTATCACTGTTTCTGAACTTCTGTGGTATAAATATTGAATTTTTCACTACTTGTAATTCTGTTTTTCTCTTTTGACCGGAGACAGATAATTTTAGTAGTTGCAGAAATGCATCTGTCTATGTCCATGGCATCGAAGTTGACAGCTGTCATGTGACGGGCAGTGACTCACCATGCGGTGGATGTGTTGTAGGGCAGGAGTGTAGGGCTGTGGCTCTCCCCTCTGAGGCTGTGTCTGGGCTGGAAGTGGGTGGGGACCATGGGCTGCGCTTGAGCCTGGGCTTCGCTCTCCTCCGGCATGGACCTGTGCCACTGACTCCGAGCCTTCTTCAGCCAGCGTCCTCCAAGACCCCATTTCTCCAGGTAGATCCGGCACAGCTCGTAGTTTATGGCTGAGTAGTAGAGAAAGTCCAGAGCCAGCAGCACCATCACAAAGAAGCCGTAGATCCACACACCGACCAGTGCTGTATAATTACTGCAAGAGACGCAGACTGGGAGAATTAATGCTGGATAATCTGAAAAAGATGATGATAAACACTTTTCATATCCTCAGAACCATCATCTAGTTACCCTTACACTGGGCTTAAATCCCAAAAGCAACGATAGTGCCTGCCAGGTGTGAATGTTTGCTGTTTATGTGGCAAGACCAAGACATTTATCAAGTCCTCCCTTGATAAAAACTTAAAAAAATAAATATAGGGGGGAAAAAAACACCATCTGTTCCATTTACTGCTTCTTAAATACTGCTTCCTAAATTGGACAAAGAATTTCATTAGCACAAGAGAGTTTTATACGTCTCGTTTTGGCTCTTACATAGTTTTCTCTAAAAATCAGCGCTCTTATTTTTCCACCTCTCATAAATTTTCTTCATGTATTACATGATCCAGCTGGATTTATGTGGGGTGCATTTGAACTTTTTGTTTTAGTCCACCCACATACATAAAGTATAACAAGGTGAATGAGCAGAAAGGGCTTCAGAAAATAGCTTCCTGAGAGGTTGGGAAAGCAAAATTTACACACATACACAAAAAAATAAAAATAATCTTGTGGTGTCACATTGCTGCTTAAATGCTCAGGGCATGTAGGGTGGAAATATTACACATGTTCATGGACTGAATAAATATTCTGACTCTGAGAGGCAGAGATGACACAGGGTGTTACTTCAAAATAGAGATTTATTTGGAGTGAAACCATTCTTTTAGTTATGCCTTAATATGCAATTAGTGTGACTCCACTGATTAAAGCCCTTAGAAAAAGTGATATTCGAGTGGTTGTAATTCAGTAAATCAACTGAATCCGCTTCTGTCTGGAAACGATGCAGCCTTAGGGGTGTTTATCTGAATAAACTGCTTTAAAACAAACACCGAAGCTGCTTGAATGAATACCATGTCAGTAAATGCTTAACTGCATTTACCTTCTCTCACCTCTGCATCAGAGGCATTTACCTGCTATAATTTCGTTTGTATGTGTTCTAACAGACTAACAATGCAGGGATATATTTGAGTCAGTCTGATCGCAGAGCAAAGAACGCAGATTGTGCACTGTTTTTAGCGAAACTGATCAGAACCGCACCACTAACACCAACGCCATTCAATATTAATCACAGCTTTCCCAGAGACAGCAGATTGAAAGGATTATCTGTCAAATATATAACAATATTTGATGTTTTCCTGTGATTTTCTTGGACATTTACTCTAAGATGACTTCTCCATATGTTTCAGATCCACGATATTTCAGCTGCTCTGTTACTTTATAGGAGACGGCGCACAACATTGTGACAAAACCCTTGGAGTCAAAATGCCTTTAGTTTTACCTCAAACTCAACTCTAATCCCATTTTAACCATGAAGTGTAAGAAGGGAGCGCAAAATTATGGCCAGTTTAACTCGCTTGGCCAGCAGTAAATATCAAGCCTGCAGTCTTATTGGCCACTGAGCCAAGATAAAAGAGAGGCCCAACAGGCCATCTGACACTAAAAATGAAATATCATGACCTGCTGCAGGGCACTGTGTACCGTTTGAGACAGAGGCATGCTGGGAGGGCATTAGTACAAAGAGCTGTGGTTTTGTCACCCAAGCCTCCCACTGGGTGCTCCCACAGAAGAAGAGGGACATTTTTCTGTGTCCTTCACTCAGTTTAAATCTGCTTATACTCCACGCCATAAGCACTTCTTTCAGTTTAGTTGTCCTCTGTGAGAAATCTGTCATATCTTGGCATGTGTGCAGTTTTTTTTAATAATGCCACACTGATACAGCTCTGCAATTTTACACAGACTTTTACTTTGAAACAGTCTAGGACTTTATAGACTCTATATGCTTAATAGCCAGCACTTAACCCCCAGCTTTGCAAAGGGTTTCATGTGGAGGCGTCATACTCAAAACACATAGGCTGCTTTTAGCATCTGCTCTTCTCTGTGGTGGTATTGAATACCTCTTCAGGTGTAGGTCAGTGTCAACAAGGTCTCTGAGCACGATACCATCAAGAAGGTCTGAAGACCAAAAAAAGCTGGTTTCATATGATCTGAGATAAATTTATCTGTCGCTGTAGCAACTCACATACAGCTCTCCCAAGATTCAGCGAAGCCAGTTTTCACTAATTAACTGTGACATGCAGGTTATCTTTTGGTATTGTTTGTTTCGTTTTAGCAGGATACTACTTAATGGTGTGGGTATTTTTTTTTAATAGTTTGATTTGTATTGGTTTTTATTAACTCTCCTCTCTCGATTCGGGTTGGTGGATGATGGTGTTTTCATGAAGTACACATGAGGATACTCCACCTGACTTTCATTTTTCAGTCAGGTGATTGGGCTGTACCACTGAGGATAGAAGGAGGAATGGGATGATTTCTGTCTTGGGCTTTTGTTGAAATGCTTTTGTTATTATTTAAATGTCTGTTATAGTATTAGGATGCTCATGCTATTTATTGTAGGAGTTTTTTCTGTGAATAAATTGTAAATATCTCTAGGTTTGACCCCCATGATTACAGCGGAAAGAAAGTATAAGTTAGGGTTATTCAGGGTTGTTGGGGGATTTGATTTTTGTGGACTGGAGTCACTGTTAGGTTCTCTAATGTCCCTCTGTTTGTAAAGTTTTTGGTAAAAAAAATCAGTCAGAGCTCTGCTCTTGCACTTGATATAATCTCCATACACTTCAATCAATGTAGTTACTGCCCTGAAAAAGGATTGTTTTCCCCATAAAACCCTACAAGTGTGTTCCATGTTTTAAATACAGTCAGCCGAGGGTATGTGAGACATGTTTAAAATATTTTAAAACCCTCACAGCCTGAATTAAAATTCTGCACATTAAGCTAGCTAAGACTCTTGCAATTTTTTTCTTTGCAAATGCAACTTTTGCCTGAAGTTCACCTTTACTACTACCACAGGTCCTATTGGGCAATTATAATGCCTGATAGCGAACAGCGTGACAAAACTCATAATGATAACAAAAACACACACACACCTAAAACAAGAGGTCAGAAACAGACTCTGATGGAAATATGTATAAAACTCCATGTATTTAGTCCTTGTCCATATGTGTCTTGTGCAGCCCATTTCTCATCAGTATGCCATGATTCCCAATATTTGACTTTGTTAAGATGGGCAATGTTCGAACTGGTAACCCTTGAGTAGCATTGGGCATCTAAGCCTGAAGATGCTAACTGTTATGTTTTATTTAATCTCTTTTCTAAACCAAGAAAAAAAGGAAAAATATGACAGTGCAGATTTTTGTCTCAGAAGATTCACAGTGAAAATCCATTTGACTCAAATGGCATCTTAAACGATTACTCACTTGTGTGCATAACCATCAGGGGTAGTGGTGAGGTTGACCTGCATGACCAACTGGAACTCAGTCTCGTTGCAGCAGTACTTGAAGGCGGTGTTGTTGTGGTGGCAGCAGAACATATAGGTCTTGTTGTCTGAGAGGCGTGGGCAGTGAAAGCCAAAGTGGTACCGCCCTTTGTGGTCAGAGTAAGGTTCACACACTCGGTAATGAGCAGAGAGGGCTGCAGTGGTGGGAAACAGGGGGAGAGAAAAAAAGAAAAGAAACCGTAGATGTAATATTCAGGAGCTAAACAAAGGACTCATGACCTTTGAGGCAGAATTTGTGTTTGTCTCCCAGTTCTGAAAATGACAACAACTCTCCAGGAAGCACCTTTCAACCTACAGCATCCAAACTGCAAAAACATAATCGTGAATGCTTGTTTTCTTTGGAGGCCTCTGAAGATACACGAGTGGATTGAATTCGGTTAATACCTCTGGCGAAGGACAAGCAACACAAAACACGGTGTACTTGCAAAAATAATCAGAGAGTAGATATTAAATTATTCATGCAGGCGCATGATGGCAAAAGCAGTCATTTTTATTCTTGAAGGAACACAGAGACTATCAGACTGATTAGCTAATCATTCAAACCAGACGGCATCGTCTTATTTTCTTCATGTCGTCACGCCATCCAGAGATTTCATAGGAGCTTACTGAAGTATGAGCTGGAAGTTATGGAACCTAATGGCACTTGTTGCAGTAGTGGATTCTGACACATCAGTGGGTAAACTAGAAAATGTGTAGGTGGTGGTGGCAGACTCGCAGCTTGATTTCTTGTTTTTACCTACAAGTTTCTTGAGGTCACAGAGTTTAGTCTCTGACGGCCCGCTTACTTTTATCATCACGTCTAAACCCAAAGTTTTCCCCAAGAGGGATAGCGGTGTTTTTCTTGTTACTAGTCCAACAAGCAAGTTCTCTGTTTGTTTCACAGAAGAGGCTGATGTCAGGTGGCACATGCTATTACAATATAGCCTGAATACAGCATTACTCTACCGGTTTAATAAGAGAGATCTGAGTGTGCCAGGTGTGCTCCGGTATACTGGACATCTTTGATAACACCCAAGCGCGATACAAACATAAGGGTGGCTTCTGTGCGTTTGTATGGAAACAACAAACATACTTCTCAGATTACTTGACAAAATGAGTGTATAGCACGCTGCTTCCCCTAGGCTGACCGCCTCGCTTCATCCTCCCTCCAAAAGAAGGATCCCCTCTGTTTTTTGTGATTGTGTGTCTGAGTGTTTTTCTATTTTGTCATTCTATTTATAGGTGAACAAAGAGTTTCACTGTGAACCTGGTGCCACCTAACTATATGGTTTTAAACACTGTTGTTTAATCTTGGACCGGTTTCACTTTTATTTAACTCACAGTACAGTATCATAGGTTGTGTTTTTTTAATGCAGTTTTTGTTCTGCACATACACAATACATGACTTAAAAAAAGAATTTCAGTAAAATGGGGTAAATTTCAGAAATCTGAACAGAAATTAATCAAAGCCAAAGTCATCCTGAAAAGTATAACCAGTCATTTGGGCAGATGAAGCCATACGGATGGAAACAGTCAGTTCTTTATGCAGCTTCATGCAGTCCTCTGGCTTATTTGCATTCAGCCAGAACTACGCTTACGAGTCCCTGCAGCTTTAGGGGAAAGTGAATGTGTTACTGTCTCGTGGGGGGAAATAATAATGTTTCCAAGATGGATTCTGGCAACCAGTAAGGATCAAGTAAAAGAAAAAAATCACAAGAATTGCAAACCAAACTCTAATAATAATAAATAACCTATCTATTTATAAAGCTGATAATCATGCCTGTTTGACATATTCATTGTTTCACAGCCATTTAAAACAGCCTATGACCTGTCCAAAACTATATATAAAGTTCTCAAAATGCCTATAAGCACTGGAAGCCAGAATAGTGACAAATATACAGAATGCACTGAAGCATGCATCATCGTGCAGTTCACTTTTATATTTCTTTGCAGTCTCCGATAGAGGGATTATGTGACAATGTTTTATGTATCTAACAGGAAATCTATTGCCCATTTCCAGCTCCACAATTTTATTCTGGGACTCTGCTGAAGTAACTGCATATGATTCAAAGTCTAAAATAATTCTTATGGATCTACTGAGACTCAGCAGCACCTTAGTTCATCCTCTGAAACAAGCAATTCTAAAACCATTATTAGTTACAGCCACACTAAGACGCTTCCTCTGACTGCTAAGAAACCAAATGTTTAAAGGATTACTTGTACATACACTCACTTTATTATCTTTGATTTTGGTGTTTGTTTCATGTGAGCATCCTCCACAAAATAGGTACAAGAGCTTGTATGTAAGCATAGCAGTGTTTTTGTTACTTATCTGCAGGTGAACCAATGAGATTTTAACCTTTTAATAGCTCTATATGTGGCATTTGCAGGTTCTGTAATTCTGTTTTCACTTCTTGAAAGATGCCGCTCCATGGGACGTGTACCTGATTGATCCTTCTCTTATGTTTTCTTTTTCATCAATAAGCTGCCAGTGCTGTCAGATTTTTAGGCTTCATTGATGTAAAACTGCGTTTTACTGTGATTTAATTCATATCAGCATTTCTGTACTTGCTTGCAGAATCACTCTGGCACCGTGTATTCTTGTTTGGCTTTGATTGATAATTCTCAGCTGAATCACAAATTGAAATGATGTCACTCCATGTGAAGTGCACTGAGCTTAGTTTGATGTTTTTATTGTAGCTTATTTATCCTTCTCATATGTGCTTCCTTTTATGAGCCCAAAAAATATGACTGTGTTGTCAGTTAAAGTGTTTCGGCTGTGATTTAGTTCAAGGTCCACTTGTGCAGGCAGTGTGATAGAAGTCTTTCACTCATCTCAGGCCAAGACAGATCAGCATTTGAAAGAGACCTCTTTCAGGTTATAATGAGCTTGCTGGCCATCTTCGCTTCAGCGATGCTAATTTCAGCAGGAGAGGCTGTAAAATGAAACACTACTGAAGGGCACGGTAGAATTAAAAGTCAAGGATGGCTTCTTCAGCAGTGAAAGGAAGCTCTTCATTTGACCCTTGCGTTGACAATACAAGTCAGTTAATCCATGAAAAAGTTCTGCGGTACGCTCATGTTTTTATGCCCTTTAAAAGAAGAGGGTCAGCGGCTGAGGGTTAGTAACCTGGTAATAAAGAAACAGAGGCCCTTCACACTGTAAGTGGAGTATAAAATTCTCTAATGATGCACAACTGGAAACAGACAAGTTCATCGGCAGTCTCTGGCTTCTCAAATGAACAACAGCTGCTTCTGGAAGCGATAGTGTTGTAAACACACCCACCTGCTTAATTTCATTAACACCTCTTGAAGTTTAGGATACAGTTAACAGCTTGGCTCCTGAACTACAGTTTGTTTACTGCCTGTGGTCTGAAAACGGCTGTGGCTCTCTCTCTCTCGCTCGCAAACACACAACATCAAAACATCAGTCAGTGCTCACCCATCACTTTTTTTTATCCATAACTGCGCTCGCATCTGCAGTTTGTCTTTGTTCTGAAACATAAAGGTTTCATTCGGTGATCCTCGACAAAGAAGACAAAATGATTTTTGCTCACGAGTAACCCATTCACTCAGATCTTTGGTAAGCTGTAAATGTAATGTGCGCATCCTTTTTCTTTAGCTAAGTACAATACACTGTGTGCACCTTCTTGGTGCTATTATCTTTGCCTTTGGTTAGTTTGTCTGCTATTCACTCACAGTCTGTCCGTCTCTGTGTCAGCAGTGTTAAACCAAATCCACGATAGGCTTTTCTACCTCTTCTTAGTCAAGCATGAAAAACAGCTTTGATGAAAAAAAAAAAAAAAAAAAATAATTTTAAGCTTAATATCAATCTGCCTTTTTTTTAAAAAATAAAATAGTTGCACTTTGATTATCAGGATAATTTGATGATAATGAGTTATTATCAATATTTTCATGATGGTAAATATACTGAGACACAATTATATTTTCAGTTTACAATTTAAAGTTATTCTGTTGTCTAGTCTTTAGTGTTAACTCCAACATCACTGCACCATCGAGAGCATCCTGACCAACTGTATAACAGT